CTCATTACAATTTTGTTCTTATCTATATACTATCTATAAACTATCTAGTTCACAACTGAAGTAGAGTCAGCTCAAAACTGCTCTCACCTGTTTAGATTGGATATTACCATGAACTTGTTATATCATAGTAATGTTTGGATGCATACAAAGAGTCAAAATTAAAAGAAACAAAAAAGCGATCTTCCAGATAGTGCTGTGAGTTATGGACTCAATCTTCAGCATTTCAAAGGCAAATATATGTTAATCAGTGCCCAGAGTACAGAAAACAAGACAGACTATTTGTTTTGATTTGTGGATGTTAGTCCTCTGAAATTTTATAATCTTCCCTCTTGTGAATTTGGTTTCACCTGAACAAAGCCAGATTGCAGCACAGGAGACCACAGTGAGGGAGGAATCAGACGTTTCCTTTAAGATTATATCAATGGGTTGAGAGATTCAACACAACCTCTTAAACTTTGAAATGAATCTACTGCTCTGTCCAGAGTGAAGTGATTCCTCCGCTGTCACAGGTTTTTGATAACTTAACATACAGTGTTAACAACACTGCCAACTGAAACCAACACTGCCAACTGGGAGTAGGCACCGGGCCTCCACCCATTCCTGACCAGCACTCCCATTTATGTGTTAAATAAACGTGTTAAAACATTTTTTTTTCTTTTTACTTGGGTTGATTTCACCTCACACCAGTTCCTCAGTGCAATTTACCACATGGTTTCAGGATCATTTGTGCAGGCTAAACAAGATAGGGAAGAGAAGCCCAAGTGGCTTGTGGCAGGACAAAGGGGTTCATTTGTCGTTGACCTCAATCTGATCAAACTGTAGTGCTGCAGAAAACGTCTCTGCTGAACAATAAAAACCTCCAACTGCTACATCATACCTGGTAATATCTGGATTCATGTCATCAAGTCCTTATTGCCTTCTGGAAAAGGAACCTGAAAAAAAAAAAAAAAGCTTAAATATTCTATATGCATAGCCAAAAGTAAATTCTGAGTGTACATATTCAAATAAATTGCAGAGAACCTCAGCATCACATCACTCCATCCGTATTCCTCCCATGTTTCTCCTAGAGGCAAGTAGGAAGCTTACAAGACCTTCCCTTACTCATGTTTGACTTGGAAAAACAAACAGTACATGATAACACCCTAGATGTGTTTTATCCTCTTAGTGAGAAGATGGCTATGAATTAAGATTTCAAAATTTTATTCTATTAAGATTTTAAAATTCCCTGAGAGATCTTTCATTTTAAATAATTACTTCCGAAGTCTTAACACGGCGACTCAGCTGCTAGAGGATGGATGTTAGAATCTGTTGAAGTGGTCACAAAAGAGTTGTAAAATAAGCAAAAGTCAGAGCTATGTCTACATGGCTATAGCCTTACCACCTGCTACAGAGATTTTCTGTTCCTACACTAGTCTGTAAAGCTCAGCTGTACCTATTTCAGAAAATACGAATTTGTCTAGATCTATGAGACAAAAAGCAAATTTATCGCCAAAAACTTTGCATGGGAAGGTTCTAGAATAATTTAGAAGCTGGTGTTACAATACAGAATAAAAATTTAGAAAACAGTGTTAGTTTTCTTGTCTCATAATACTGTGTTTCTAAAGGACCTTGTCAACAAGTACGCAAAAGCAGGTGGATTCTTTGTTGCATAGAGAAACTTTCCTGCACTCAACATTTCCAAAGTTTTGTTAATGATCAGAAACAAAACAAAAAAAAAAACGTACGAGCAATTGACAAAGTAGTTATTGGATGGTACATCCTAGCTTGATCCTATTTCTGTTCAGTGAAAACTTAGCGGAGTGATAAAGTAGCAAGACAAATGACACATTTGTCCAAGGAATTAAGAATGCATCTTCATCTGCCACAGCTCTGAATTGCTGCCTTGAGGTAATGCTCAATACAATGTCCACATCTGGGAGAAAGACTTTTAACGGGCCAGCAAGAGCTGTCAAAAGGTCCTGCTACAAGTAGAAATTTATTTTTGGGTCTTTCTTTACATATTACATGTATTCCCAAATCTATGATAGTGTGGAACAACATGTGAAACAGTCATGGCAGTTAGACGATGTCCACAGTGAGTAGAAAAAGCAAAACAGCTCACCTGCTTTAAAACAGAGTAGAAAGGAATGGTCTTTGATACATTCCAACACAATATCCTTGTGTCTAAATTGGAGAGAGATGGATTTGATGGACTGGAATTGGCTGACGAATAAGGAATTGGCTGGATGGCAAGAGTTGCAGTCAACAGCTCTATGTTCAGGTGGACATCCATGGTGATGCTTTATATCTTTATTAACAACATAGACAGTGGGATCAAGTGCACCCTCAGTGAGTCTGCTAATGATGCCAAGCTGAGTGCTGCAGATGACACAACAGAAAGAAAGGATGCCATCCAGAGGGACCTGGACAGGCCTGAGAAGTGGGCATACATGAAAGTCAGTAAGGCCAAGTGCAAGGAGCTGCACCTGAGCCAGGGCAATCCCAAACACCAGTACAGGCTGGATAACAAGTGGATGGAGAGCAAGCCTGTGGAGAAGGGACTTGGGGGTATGGGTGGATGAAAAACTCAACATGAGCCAGCAGCATGTGCTTGCAGGCCAGAAGGGCGATTGTACCCTGGGATGCATCAAAAGAGGAGTTGCCAGGAGGCTCAGAGAGGTGATTCCCTGCCTCTACTTCAGTCTCTTTAGACCTGATGTGGACTACTGCATCCAGCTCTGGGACCCCCAATATAAGGACACGGACTTGATGAGGCAGGTCTGGAGGAAGGCCACAAATCTGATCAGAGGGCTGGAACTCCTATGAAGGAGAGAGCTAGAGATGTTCAGCCTGGAAAAAAGAAGACTGGGGAGACCTTATTGTAAACTTACAATACCTAAAGGGGGCTTTTAAGAAAGATGGAGAGATGCTTTGTAAAAAGGTGTGTAGTGTTAGAACAAGGGGTAATGGTTTTAAGCTAAAAGAGAGTACATTTAGACTGAATATAAGGAAGAAATTCTTCACTATGAGGGTGGTAAGACATGAGGTTGCCCAAAGCCCTATCCAATCTGGCCCTGAACACTTCCAGAAGTTGTTCATCCATAACTTTCACTGATCTACTGAAAGATGTACCTGCCCATGGCAGGGGGGAAGGACTAGATGGTCCTTTCCTATACATATCATTGCATGATTCTATGAACAAAAGATAGCTGAACTTTTAACATGGGTATCTATCTCAAAGAACAGAAAGCTATTAGACTTTCCTGAAACCTTTTTAATTCTTGAGCCCTCTTAGGCTCAGGAACATAATCCACATCAATCATCTTTCTGAAAAACTCTCAATTTCAGGAACGATTGATAAAGTGATTCTTGTGTTTACTGGACACCACTAAAATTGGCTATCTTTGTGATACTAACCCTTCAGAACTTGCTCTCTCCTTGAGACCAAATACTATTTAAATTCTGAATAGAAAAGGATGTCAGAAAAACCACAAGTAACCTTCAAAACCACAATAAAAATGCCTTCCATCAAGCTTGTGACCTCGTGCAGAGAAGAAAAAGAACTTCCTCAAGTGAAGCCCCAACTTCTGGGCTTCAGATTTCAGACAGGTCATTGAGTGTCCCCAGGTAAACTTGGGAGGAAAGAGTGGACAGCTTAGACACCCCCAAGCACCACCACTGTCTTCACTTCTTTGTAGACTAGGGTGTCCTTAGACATCCTCTAAGAACAAGCAGAAAAGGCACCAGCCCAGAAGGGACATTTTTATTTAGATTAGAGCTGAAATATATCATTAATTCCTCAACCACTGCCTGTAGAGATTGCAGCAGGAATCTCATCTTTCACTTGTGCATAGAGAAGCTGAGTCTCTCTGAATTATGTGAGTGATAGGCTACAGTAATAAATCCAATTTCTGTGGAGTTAGGTGGACTGCAATGGAAGGGCAATGTAATAATTACTTTTCACTGCATATATTTGCTCTCCTTCCTACCGGAAGCAACTATCAAACTGAGAAATCTCTTCTCTTTGCTTTATCTCCTTAATGCAATTCTAGCAGAAGAAGGGAATTAATAAAATTAATATTTTATATGAATTTCATCCGTTTGTTACAGCTAATAACCCAGAACAGGTATTCCTCACTGGGTAGCATTGATTCTAGATAAAGAGAAATTTTGGCTTCATATCAGATGCACTGTTCAGTTTTGCCAGCTTTGATGCACTGAAGCATCAGCATATCACAGTCTGATTTTTTTTCCAACATACAGCATTGGGTTAACAATATAAAAGAAATTGGAAAAAAAAAAAAAGTTCCTTTGTGTTTTTAAGTCTCCGTACATCTCCTGAATATCTTGATAAACTTGAGCTTGCAGATAGATGAGTCACCAGCACATTTTCATATCTTGCAGTTGTCTCTGGTCAGTCAGAAGAAAGACTGGCTCCTTTGGAGGACAGAAGTCTCCACGTTTGTCCCCTCAAACACACTTTCTGTCTGAATTTTGCAAAACTTAAATAAGACTTCATGTTAAAATTGCAAAACATGAAAATTTTGTCTTCAGATGTAGATAAAGGTGTAGGTAAGAAAGTAACCATATTCAAATCTTGCTAGCTAAAATTTGGATGTCTGAATTCATATAATTCATCCTCATCTATCTTGGAAACATTCATTTCATGCTCTGATACCTAACTTGATTCAGACTGAACCATCACTGCTTCATAAACTTACCATACAAGCTGACTTTAAATGATTCCAGAAGTGCAAAGTACAGTCTAAATTTTTTTTTCTTTCAACTTTAGCCTGTTTTTTTTTTTCTTCATTTTACCACTTGAATTTTGATGAACAAACAAATCATCTTTAAAAAGATTTATAATTATAAAAGATTTATAAACGCATTCATGCAGCCCTGTGGGCAGCTTTGCCGTATTTTTTTTTCTTCTGGGAATAGTTTTCATTGCCACCAAGGAAAATCTTTCTTTAATTTGATCCTCCTTCCATGCAAAGGGCTAAGAGTGAAGTACTGGAGACTCAACCAGCAGCTACCTAGAGGAAGGCAGAATGGTTTCTCAAAAAGTACCATTGCGATTGCCTGCTCTGACCTTCTTCACCGCAAACACAGCTCAACACAACCCCTTATTTCTATATTGATTTCATACTAACTGGCCGTGCTCTACCAGAAGAACTGCAAGCTCTCCTTTTACAACAGAACAGCACCAAGGCTTTTTCTTCCCCTCCGGACTGGCAGCCAGCAGCAGGCCGGCCAGCACCCCACCCGGCAGCAGGTGAGACACGGCCCCTGCCAGCTCTTCCCACAGCACTGCTCTACTGGGGCAGGGGGCTGCCGTGAGGGGGCTGCCGTGAGGGCACCCTTTTGGCTGCTCCTTGCAGCCCCAGCAGGAACCCGTGCCTCAGCAGCCCCTCGCACCGTCACGGCGACCCCTCCCCAGCCACACAGGGGCCGCCGCCCGCTGCTCGGGCCCGGCGCCCGCGCTGCCCCCGCGGCTCCCCGGTGCCCCCCACCTCCGCCCCCGCCACCCCTCCGCTCACGGCCGGCTCCCCGCGGCACCGCCGGCTGCATGGGTACCTGACCCTCGGGCGCTGCCGGATGGCTCCGGCACTGTCCCTTCGCCCCCCAAAATCACTGCCCGCTCCCCCGCCAGGCACCGTCCGACCCCCGCTCCGCCAGCGCTCACGCACTCTCCCCCCGTCCCCAACACCCCCGCGGGCTCCTTCAGCCGCCACCTGCCGGGCTATATCCGCCCCTCACCTCCACCTCCACCTCCCCCGGACCCCCTCTTTTTCTCTTTCTCTTTCTCTTTCCCCCGGGGCGGCGCCGTCCCGGTCTCCGCGGAGACCCGAGAGGCGTCCGGGCTCTGCCTGGCCCCGGGCGCGATGAAGGAGGCGGCGGCCTCGGGGCGGGGCCGGGCCGGGCGCTGCTCCCAGCGCGACGGGGAGGAGGACCCCGGGCGGCGGCCGGGCCTGGCCTCCCGGCCTCGAGGAGCTGCCGCGGGGTGGTCCCGGTTGGTCTTTTCCAACCTTAATGATTCTATTCCATGAGCCGTGTGGGATGGTTCTGGGCTGAGCCCCGCGGGGAAGCGTCTCCAGGGGCCGGAGGGCTTTGATCATGGAATCAGAGAAACACAGGGTTGGAAAGCACCTACCAGATCATCTAGTCCAACTGTCCTCCTGTCATCAGTGCTACCACTAAGCTACTAAATCATATCTCTCAGCACCTTGTCCAGGCACTTCTTGAACACAGCATGGGACGGTGACTCCATCACCTCCCTGGGCAGGCCGCTCCAGTGCCTGACCACTCTTTGAGAGATAAAGTTTTTCCTGATATCTAATCTAAATGTCCCCAGGTGCAACTTGTGGCCGTTTGATGGACACCCAAAGCCAGGAGGCCATGAGCAGGGGCCAGGACTGCAGGGGCCAGGATGTGAAGAGAGTGTGGGGGTACCAGCAAGGGAGGAGAGGCTGGTTCTGGTGACCTTGGATGAGCCTTGCAAGGTGTGACGCACCTAGGAGATGACAGGACCATGATGTGAATGTCCACATGTGTTTCAACATTAAAGGGAAAACTTGGCCTGTTTGCCTTCCCCAAGAGGGAATTAATGTCTCCAGGAAGAGAAGCAGGTGTCATGAACTGGAAGGAACAGCTGTGCTAGGACAGAGATGCCGTGACACCTGTAATACAGATCACAGAATCATCTAGGTTGCAAGAGACCTCCAAGATCAGATGGAGTACCACCAGAACAAAGACGCTGAATTCCTTATTTTCTCTCATTTTTCACTGCATGGCAATACTGTTCTTTGCATGGTACCATTTATAGCTGTTGAAGTGAGAATTAAATGCTAATGAATTAGCCTAACTATTACTTTACATGCACTTTTCATGAGTGCAAATTAAAAGATAACGAAGGTGTCATGGGAATCTTCGTCATGAGACTCCTGCTCCTGCTGCAGTTCGATGTAATGACAGCCTTCCTGCCACTGACCTTATGAACCAGATCCTGCTCCTTTTCTCATCATACATGTTTCCCCCTTTTCTTTTACTTGTTACCTCTTTTACCTCCACTACTCTCTTAGATCAGAGATTTGCTAATTTCATGCCTGCTCTATCACTTGTGTAAAAATACATTTAAAAATGCACACATATGAAAGTATGTATATGCCATTATGTTTTAAAATCAAAGCATTGTGCATCAAGCAGGACATACAGCAGCCTATAAATGCTTAAATGGATGATGCTGGAGCACATTTCTGCAGTTCCATGTTTCTTTTGCCAACAGTGAACCTGGTTAGTTTAACCCAGTATTTTCTTCGTAAACATTATAAAAAAGGAGACAAAATAAAGTCCCTGAGCAAATTGCAGCTGCCCTTTACATGAAAAAACAAGGATTGAGTACTACATGTTATTTCAGCCTCTTGATGAGGCAAGTCAAAACAAGGAGGAAGAGCTAATATGGTGGACTACAGCTTTGGAATCACTTCAGTACAGCTGGGTAGATTTTAAGGCCAGAAAAAAAAATGTTAAGCTCATCTATTCTGTCCTCCTGAATTACGTAGGCCAAAAAAAATTCCACCCCATCATTCTTGCTTTCAAGTCTTGGGAGTACAGATCATGTGTACTATTATTGTTTGCCAGTGTGCTATAATGCATTCTTGGAGCACTTAAGACTGTTCTCTCATCTTACTAAAACACTTTCCATCAGTTCTTTATTTCCAGATTTTTCTAAAGCTGTAGCCAGTATGGTTTTGATAAATATAGCTGTAAATACCTGTGTAGATAGAGCTGTTAAGAATTTAAAAACAAATTTAGTCACTTGTTAAAGTTTTTGGTTTTTTTACTGATTGTATTTCACATGCTCAGTTCCAATCAAGCAATACACAGTCAAACATGTAACTGACTGATGGCTTGAAAATGGTTTCTGCTCAAGATTGCCATGAATGTACTAGCATCTGTACAAATAAACTGGTGAATATTTGCACAAAGTATTTGGGCCATGGAGTAATAATGTCAGGAATTTCTAGCCATATCATATTCCCTTAGGTGGACCCCAATGCTCCTACATGCATTAGTGTTCCTGTAGCTAGTTGAATGGCATCACCAAAACCAATTTAAAACAGTGCTTGACCAGCAGTCTTTGTATTACAAATCCAGCTTTTCTGGGTTTGATCCAAAGTCTGCTGACCTGAGTGAAAAGCTCCCACTGACTTCCAAAGGACTTGGATTGGGCCTTCCTTGGGCAAAAATCTGCTAATGTCAGAGCAGAGGGTAAATAAAACAGAAACATTTAAAAACACTGGAACAAAGGAAGGGGCTTTGCTCAGGGTATTATTTGTTTTTCTCACCCCCTCACCCCGGTTATCTGTGACTTCCTCAGTTACAGAGGTGGAATATGAGTCATGCCAATTGGAACAGAAATTTTTGCTTAATCACCAGTCACCAGCACACAGGGCCATCATCAAAATACAGCACAAACCTCCATGCCCCACAGCAATTTGGGACACAAAGTCTTGGTGAGGAGCCCTGGTGCACAGGGACATGACCTGTGCATACCTTGTCTTTTATATGAATCATGATGTATTTTGAACTCTGGCTATGAGTGCTGAACAGTGCCCCTCATTCTGACCATAGAGAGTGCTCCATTAAAGACTTAAAAGTTACCACTCTTTTTTATAATATGCGCCTTGAAACATCCAGAGGGGTCTGGAACACAAAAATGGACACTCAGTCTCTAAATATCAGGCTTCTTCAATTTTTTTTCAGGAAATAATTAGGATTTGAGGTACTTAAAAATAACTTTAAAACTTAGGCAGACAAACCCATTTTATTATTTATATTACAATATATCTATGAGTAAGAAAAACTGGTAGTTTGAATGTGATGATTTATACACTAGCTGCTTAACGTGGGCCAGATGTTGAACAAGTCCTCTGCTTATAGTCTATGAAAGAGTCACCCTCTGACATCCTGTACATCGAGTCCAAATAAATCTCTGACCAGATCTGGTGGGCAGTTTGTCTCCAATCTCTTTGGTTGTGATGTGCTGGACACCCTGAAGGTGGACTGTGTCAGCCTGGACAGCACCCTCAAGTGGAAAACCAAAGTCCCTGCACACCCAGTCTGTCCCAACTGACAACTGTACAACTGAACTTCAAACATAAATGGGTACTGGTGAATATACAGTAGGTCACAGAATCACAGACTCACAGAATTGCAGGGGTTGGAAGGGACCTCCAGAGATCATCGGGCCCAACCCCCCGCCAAAGCAGTTCCCCAGAGCAGGTTGCCCAGGGAGACGTCCAGACGGGCCTTGAATATCTGCAGAGAAGGAGCCCCCCCAGCCTCCCTGGGCAGCCTGTCCCAGCGCTCTGTCACCCTCCCCGGGAAGAAGTTCTTTGGCGTGTTGGTGCGGAACTGCCTGGGCTCCATTTGGTGGCCACTGCCCCTTGTCCTGTCCCCACAGACCACTGAAAAGAGTTTGGCCATATACTTCTGTCTCCCACACTTCAGGTATTTATAATAGCCCCAGCTCTCTCAGCCTCTCCTCCCAGGGGAGATGCTCCAGGCCCCATATCATCTTTGTGGCCCTCCACTGGCCTCTTTCCAGGAGATCCCTGTCTTTTTTGTGCCAGGGAGCCCAGAACTGGACACAGAACTCCAGGTGAGGCCTGACCAGGGCAGAGGGGGAGGATCACCTCCCTTGACCACGCTCCTTTTAATGCATGCCAGGATCTCATTGTCTGTCTTGTCGTCTACCAGGACCCGCAGCACAGAAGGAAAGCACATTCCTCCCTGGGCTACAAAGTTCCCCATTGTCTCCCATCATATCTCATCTCTTCCTGTAAATCCTGCAGTCTGGAATACAGAACCAGAAACCCCCAGGGAATCCCCAGCCCCAACCTGTTATTACAGACCTCGAGGGGGAGAAATAGGGAGAGAATGAAGCCCTCTTCCCCTCTGAGAAAGCATTGCCATGTATTTAGATATAAATGGAGATACCATTTAATGTTTTTAATTTAATCAATTCAATTTATTTTACAGCTTTTTAATTTGTGTGTTCATGGACACTCAGCTTCATAGTGACCCTAGTGTTATTTCTGAGGGGTAGGCATACTCTAAAAAAATTCTCCCTGCATTGGTTTTCAGGGGATTTAGGAACAGAAATATCTGGCTTGTGTAGGTGAAAAAAGGGTGCTGAGAAGCTCTGCTCAGCTAGTGCAGTGGCACCTCTGGGTACCTGCAGCAGCACAACCTCAGATTCACAAAATCTTGCTGATGCAATGTCAGGGCTGTAACAATAAGGTGAAGTTTCAGGAATTGTGCTTGCAGATACCGGTGTTCTGATATCTTACCATGCATTTATCTTTCCAATAACATACATGTGAAGCTTCACTTTTGCAAAAATTCAAAAGCAACATGAATTGTGCACTTCTTGCTAGTGACTCTGTAATAAGCCAAATACCAGTCTTTTCCTGCTGTTAAAATGCTTCTTTCACTTTGATTTCAGGTGTTCAAATGCAGACAGAAATGAACTTCCTCACATCACAGCGTGACAAACTGTTCAAACAGGATCCACTTCCACTTTTTAGGAGCTCCCAAAAGCACTAATAAAAGTGCCGTAATCTTCTCTAATGATCCAAAACATTGCAGCTTGCAGTGATGTTGGACTGTTTTGGAACAAAACTGAATTCTTTTCCTCTCAATTACTTTCCCTTCTGTTTACTTCACTGTGCCCTCCGGTGACCTTTTCGGGTCTCAGAGGGAGGTTGTGTCAGCAGTTCAAGTGTTGATAATGTTCCTAGTGCTGTGGCAGTCGGGGAGGGTTGCAGCAAGTAAGTGACCCAAGGTGTGAAAGGCTGTTTGTGCACATACTGGAGCACTTCTTGCAAAGCTTCTATTGTTCACAGCAGTGGGCAAGGAGGCAGTTGTTTCTCCTCCCCTTGCATTTTAAGGAAGAGCAGGGCCCAGTGGCAAAGTTCTGTAGCAGAAAAGCCGACAAGTTACTCAGGTGCTTTTTGCATGGTGAACCCACTGCCACTACAGCCCCTCACAATGGACTCTGCTCTTGGGTAGGTTACATTTCAGGAAGGAAGACATAAAAGTTCACATTATTTTTTGTAACTCTAAAAGTAAATCTGTGTCAGAGAGAACAGATCTTTGTGAACTGAGCACGGGCCTGGTGCACCTGGAAAGGACTGAGGGCTAAATCACAGTTTTGAGTTACTCAGTCTGAGACACACCGGACTTACTCCTTTGTTTAAGGGAGCAGCGTTGAATTACAACAAATCTACCCAGTAGCTACCTGCTGCAGAAAGAGGCTGTCCTGACTTTTTCAGCCTGTATTCCCTCAGGCACAGAGGCACAGTCCTGCCATTCATTTTACCTTCTGATGGGCCAGTTTGAGGAGCTAAACCACCAGAAAACTTATTATTATTTTTAATTAAACCACTGTAAGAAAGATCTTATACAGGGTTAGTTTTCTTCTAGTTTAGCTGCTTAAACTGGCTCAGCCAGATGCATGTGACTGAAGAGAGGCAGCAGCTCGTGCAGTGCAGTGCAGTTCAACAGCAGGTTAAATCGATCTGTTCCAGCTTGTTACAAACCTGGCCCGCACCTTACTCCTGGCTTCACGGTCCTCATACTTCTAGTGTACCGGCACAAACACTCGTGCAGAGGCATTCTAATTTAGCAGCAATGCCACTGAAAGTAAAACAAAAGAAGATTTTCTCTTTCCCTAGCCTAGTCCTAATTTAACAAAGATTATTCCAGCCTTGATGATGTTCCAGTATGCATACGTGATTTTAGCCAACTAACAGCTGCAGAAATTAGGGTTACAAGGGAAACTGTGTAGTTGAAATGACCAGCAGAAAAATCTGATAGGTGTGCGTGTTACCTGCCACACAGAATGAAGAAGCAATGGCATGCTGGAAACAGCTCTGATGCCAAGCTTTGTGCAAGCAAAGATGAAGCCCTCAGACCTTGCCATCTATCTTACCTCATTCCGTTAGCTGAATTTTGTCAGCTGCTTTTTTGAATTCAAACACAGTTATTTGTCAATTCGCTCATGAAACAAATGTTGCAGTCCTGTCTGCATTCTCTACTGTCACCAAAGTATCTGGTACAAACGTTTTATGACCCAGCTTTAGGGATGTCAGCAGCGTTTCTTTTTAAAGATATCGTATATTCATCTCTGAGCATGAAAACAGCTTCAACCCTGTTCTTGAAGATAACTTGGATAACTTGTATATATTAGTGTTCTCTAAGACTGCAAAGACAAAGGCTTAGACGCTGACACACAATTATTTTCTCAGAAGTAAAGCTGTTTTATCTCATTTTGATTTAGGTATTGCTGTTGGAGGACACAGCTTAACCAGGAGGTCGATTAAGATATGACAGCTTATTTTAGAAACAAACAGTTGTACTGAAAATTTACAGAGACACTATTATTCATCAGAGAATGACATTTTGACTAAATAAGGAGTGCTGCCACTTTAAATTATAACTTCTCAAGAATCACACAG